TCTCCAGAAAATGGTTTGTTGTTGTTATTATTACTATTGTTGTTGTTGTTGTTAATGTTGTTGTTATTGAGTTGTTGTTGTTGAGTTGTTGTTGTTGAGTTGATGTTGTTGAGTTGTTGTTGAGTTGTTGAGTTGTTAAGTTGTTGTTGTTGAGTTGTGGTTGTTGTTGTTGAGTTGTGGTTGTTGTTGAGTTGTTATTGTTGGGTTGTTGTTTTTGGGTTGTTGTTGTGTTGTTTTACTATTTCTATAATTGTCATGGTCATCTTTCAATTTTGACACTGGCTATTGTAGCAAAGATTTGTTGTGTGAGCCTATTCAACATTTTGTTTTGTTGATGTTGTTATTTTTGATTTTTTTAATTATTTTTATTTTCATTAATTGTTAGTATTATTATTTCTGTGATCGTTTTCACAGAAATCACCATATCATGCTACCTCGATCAAAGCATTAAATCTCATTTGATCGCACGCACACTCGTACACACACGCACATACACGCATACTCACACACAAAATCACTCAAATAACATATAACATATTTTTTTTCATATTTTATCATTTCTCTTCCTCACTTTTTGTATTTATTTTCTCACTTATTTGTTTAATTTTGTTTTACTGCCTTGCATGTTGTTACAGTTTCTTCGTCTGTCAGATCCTGATTTTTAAAGAATAATAATAATAAAAAAAAAATATACTATCATGCACACATCAAACGCACACAAACTCCTCCCACCTCCAGGTTTGATTGACAACGAGCAATCGATCCGTAACAGACGCTCACAACTCGGAGCCAATTTCATCGAACCGAAACCCCAAAAGTCCTTTCTTCGTTACGTCATCGAGGCCCTCAATGACGTCACACTCATCGTACTCACCATCGCCGCCATTGTGTCTTTGGTACTTTCCTTCATAGAGGCCAATAAGAGTAGTTAGTCGAGAATTTTGAGTGGAGAATTTTGAGAATACTCTGACGTTTTTGATGACGATATGACAATGATGATGGTGGTCTACAGACAAACACACACACCACACACACACAAAACTCACACTCTCACACACACACACACATACGCACATACACACACACTAAACTCACACTCCCTCACACACACACAAAACACCCATTCCCACACAATCCAGGTGCCAAATCCGACCCAACCAAAGGTCTGGAATGGATCGAGGGAGCTACAATCCTCATCGCCGTCGTTCTAATCATTCTCGTCACGGCGTTCAACAACTGGACCAAAGAAAGGCAATTTCGAAATCTCAAAAAAATCGTCAGTGGCCAGCAAAAGTTTTGCACCATTCGCTCCGGCCAAGTCATGAATATTAATAATACCGAACTTGTCGTCGGTGACGTCTGTATCGTGAAATACGGTTAGATTCGAGTATTAGTTAGAATTCGAATGTTTTTTTATGTTCGTTTTTGTATCGTGAAATACCGTTAGATTTGAGTTTTTGTTGGGGTTCAAATCACAAACATCATCATCATCACAATCATCACAAACCTCATCATCACCATCACAAACATCATCATCATCACAATCATCACAAACATCATCATCACAATCATCACAAACATCATCATCATCATCACAAACATCATTATCAGGAGACAGTATTCCGGCGGATGGACTGATAATTCAGAGTAACGACATGAAAGTGGATGAGAGTAGCATGACAGGAGAGAGCGATCCTGTAAAGAAAGGGGTTCACGATGATCCGCTTCTGCTCTCTGGTGAGAAAAATTTTTTTCAAATACTTTTATTACTACTACTACTACTGTTGCTGCTACTACTGCTGCTGCTACTACTGCTGCTACTGTTACTACTACTGCTGCTGTTGCTGCTACTACTACTACTACTAGTAATAATAATAAAAATACTACCAATGATAATCGAAACAGGTTCTCACGTTTTAGAAGGTTCTGGCAAGATGGTCATTATCCGAGTCGGTTTCGATACCGATTACGGTCGGGCATTATCGTTATTAACCGGTTCGAAACCAGCAGCTGCTAATATCGACGCTGCATATGCCGCAACTGCTGATGGTAGTAACAATAGATGTGGCAACGGTGGTGAAGGTTTTGGAGGTAGTTGTTTGGGCGGTTTTGGTGTGCAGAAACCAAATGGAGCCGTGAATTTAGAAGAAGTTTGTATTTGGTGGCTGGTTGTGGCTGAGGTGTAGTTGGTTGTAGTTAGTTGTGGTGTGGTTGTAGTGTGATTGTAGTTGTAGTCGTTGTTGGTTGTTTTGTTGAGACTCTTATAGATTCATCTGACAAAGTGTTTGAATGGTGTTGACATGTTAACACGGATTCAATGATTAATCATTTTTTTTTTCACAAGATTAAAATCTCCTAATCTATCAACTATAATTATAAAACCAGTAATCATAGACAATTATATTTGTCTAATTTTATATTTAATTATTTGTAATTTTATATTTTATTATTTGTAATTTTATATTTAATTATTCATAATTTTATATTTAATTATTTATAATTTTATATTTAATTATTTGTAATTTTATATTTAATTATTTATAATTTAATATTTAATTATTCATAATTTCATATTTAATTATTTGTAATTTAATATTTAATTATTCATAATTTCATATTTAATTATTTATAATTTTATATTTAATTATTTGTAATTATTTTCAAAGTTGAGTCCAGATTCAGTGGCGATCAAGACACCATCAGCAGCAGCGGTAGCAGGCCTCAGTAACACGGCTGATGGAATGTTCAACGACAACGACGGTGATGACTACGATGCCAAATCGATCCTGAAGAAAAAAGTCGACAAATTATCCATCGAAATTGGATATTTCGGTAACTTATTAATTAATTAATTGATCAATCAATCAATCAATTAATTAATCAATTGGTCAATTAATTAATTAATGTATTTATTTATTTATTCATTAATTAGTTTATTTGTTAATTATAGTGAAATATATATCTAAAACAATAGCAATGAAAGTGAGTAGAAAGACGTAATTTATAATATAAATAATTATAAATATTAAAAAAATAATAAATATACTTTAAAAATACCTCAAAAATAATAGAAATACCCTAAAAACGTCCCAAATGACACAGGCATCGTAATGGCAGTTGCAACATTGATAGTCCTCATTGTGCGTTTCAGTATTGAGAAGTTTGCCATTGAAAAACTTCCATGGGACAGCGACTATGTGCATGATTTTATCGGGTTTGTCCTCATAGCCATCACCATTTTGGTCATTGCTATACCCGAGGGTTTGCCACTTGCTGTCCTGCTCTCATTGGCTATTGCCGTCAAGGTATGTTTGAGGTTTGGTTGGCTGGTTTGCTGATTGGTTGAGTGGGTTTGCTTGATTGGTTGAGTGGGTTCGTTTGATTGGTTGGCTGATTTATTTAGTTAGATTTAGATGTTTGAGGTTTGGTTGGCTGGTCTGCTGATTGGTTGAGTTGGTCTGTTTGATTGGTTGGCTGATTTATTTGGTTAAATTTAGTGGATATGTGGGATTGGCTGGTTTGTCTGTTGGTAATAGCTATTTTTGTTAAGATCTGTCTTTGGGTTGGTTGGCTGATTTGTTTGATTGGTTGAGTGAGTGGGTCATCATCTTTTTTATCATCCTTATCTTCATCATCATCACCGTCACCACCACCATCATCATCATAACCAGCGAATGATGAAAGACAAAAATTTGGTCCGTCATTTGGACGCCTGTGAGACAATGGGCAATGCAACGTGCATTTGTTCGGACAAAACTGGAACGCTCACCACCAATGTTATGACCGTTGTCGAGTGCTATATGGCTTGTACGTTTTCATGTTTGTTTTACATGTGTGTGTGTGTGTGTGTGTGTGTGTGTGTGTGTGTGTGTATGTATGTGTTTATTTGTGTGTGTGTGTATGCATGTATGTGTGTGCGGTTATATGGACGGATGTGCGTGTATGTATGAATGGATGGATGAATGTATACTTGGTTCTTTGCACAAACGCATAAATTGATATTTCTTTACATGTATGTAAGTATGTGTTTGTATACGTGTATGTGTATGTATGAGTGTATGTGGGTGTGTATGTTTTCTCACCCAGCAAACACGTACGAATTGAAGAAAAGTTTTGAAGGTCTGTCAGATTCCTGTAAGGAACATCTGCTGTTGTCAATTTCAGTTAACACGTGTTACTCAACTGATGTTGTGGTTAGCGTTCTTATTATCATTGTTATTTCTTCTTCTTCTTCCTCTTCATCATCTTCTTTTTCTTCCTCTTCATCATCTTCTTCTTCTTCCTCTTCATCATCTTCTTTTTCTTCCTCTTCATCATCTTCTTCTTCTTC